TACCTCTTCGCTCCGGTGGACACTGAAAGACGTCGCCTGCTTTCGACGGAAACCTAACCTCTTTTTTGTGCCTTTCATTTCGCATACAATTATTCACATAATTATTAATTTTTTAATAGTATTAATTGCTAACTAATCTAAACTACTTATTATCACCAATAAATCACTGTTTCTTATTGTTTTCTCTAAAACTAATTTTGTTTTCCTAAGTACTCAAGAATTTTGGCTTTTTTAAAGAATATTCTGTAAATACTGTGAATTACTTTAAATGCAAAACAGTCTCAAAATGTAAATACAATTAAAATGATAAGAGATAAAAATGAATATAAAAAGAGATGGTTGTCTGTGTATGGATGGTATGACTGACCGGAAACACTGAGTTGTGATGTGCTGTTGCTCTTCTTGGAAAGTCCGGAGTTCTTAGTGTTTGTCTGTGGATTGCAAATGACGTTCAACTGTTCCATTTGGCTCTCGGAGCCGATGGCTGTGTCCGATAGACTGCCGTCGGTTTTGCTCTCATTGGCCGCCCTTTCCCTCTCATTCAACTGACTTATTGCTATGGATGTACGCGACGGATGCGCTGCCGGATGGACGGGTCCGTAACTTTGGATTTTGGATGTAAACTCACTGCACGAATACACACCAGAATATATATATAAATCAATTGTCGACACAGTTTTTTTGTGATTAATCGCTCTATGCTTTTGGTAAAAGCAAAATGCGATCACAGATTACTGCCATTGATTTTATTTTATGGGATAAGAATCGCTGCAATTAGTGATTAACTGTTTTGCAATTTTGTTGTCCAATCAATAGGTATATGATATATGGCTATAGATTTGTTGAAATGTTTGCTAAACTTTGTCTTTTGAAATGTTTTGAGAATAAAACTCGAAATAAATTTATATACTTTATTGAAGAATAATTGATACCAATTGTGTACTTGAAGTAAAGTGTACTTTACTTTAGCATATATTCTTGTCTTTGCATTAAATATTGTTATTTGAGTTTTGTTTTGACATTTTTGAAAAACTATTAAACATTTAAAGTTTAAAACATTTGCAAAATGTACTGACAATTGAAGAGAGAGAATGTCGCCGAAAAACTATTATAGGAGTTTTAAACATGATAATTCATTTGGAAAATAACATAATTTTCGTGATTAAGTAAATATTTATATAGTTATTGAGACGAATGAGTAAATATTTAAACCAATTTCTGAACTAAACTACAGTATAATGAAAAAGTATTTGTCAAACGATTCGCTGATGCGTTAACTCAATACATAAAAACGGAGATAAAATTTGTTAAAAACATGTATTTCTTCGTCTATTTTCCTTATAATTTACGAATCAAATCAAATAAAAGTCAATTTTACTGCTAATTCATTATCACTGGATTTGTTTGTTTAAACGAGACATTGAAATGTAATTTTACTAAAGTTTTAGTTTTTTTTAGAGATACTAGTGTAAAAAATATTTACTTTAAATTGCCAAATATTTGACTATTTTGTTTGTTATCGCCATCCATGTAAACCAACTCAATTATAAATGAGCATGTGGGATTCTTCGCGCAACATTAAACCTTTAAGCTTTTAAATTGCTATTTCGCAAAATCTATCACAATTTAGTGAAGACATAAAGCTTTGTAAGTAATATAAACTTATTGCTAAATCATTTATGTTGTAAATTGACATTTCCTATAATTCATGTCATTTATAGCAGTTTTCAACAAAAGGCATCACAAAACTAGCTCTCAATTATAGCGATTATCTACTGAATATATTTTGGCAATATTTGATTGCAAATATAAAAAGCATAATTAAAATGATTGGTTTGGTTGACACATACCTAAGTGTACGACTGGGTCGGGGTCTATCAGAATGTGTAGAGAAGGCACTTTGGACACTAGTCTTTGAATTAGTACTCGTTTCAGACTCTTCGCCACTCTCTTCGCCGCCGCCCGCGTGTTGTCCACTACTGGTCGACACTCGCCGGTCGCGGCCCCTCTGTTGCTCTCTGCTTCCGCTCTCCCTGTGCTCTCTGCTCCCGCTCTCCCTGTGCTCTCTGCTCCCACTCTCCCTGTGATCTCTTTGCTCCCTTTGTTCTCTATGCTCTCGATAACTGTCCCGACGCTCTCTTTCTCGATGCCCCTCCGTTTCCGACTGGTATTCCCGATACCCGGAATCGGTGGCGCTCTGACCGGCGCTGCGTCGGCGACCGCTATCTCGGCGGTGGTGTTGATGTTGTTGTGGTTGTTGTTGCTGTTGGAGTGCCGACGAGTCCTTCAGTGGATGCGCGTAAAGCTGTCGGTTCCCAAACACCGGTTTTGTGGTGATCTCACTGTCGGAATACATGCCGCCTGTCATCCGATCGACGGATCGTCTTTGCGGTACGTTTGGCCTCCAGTTCCGGCTCTGCATCTGTTG